TTAACGACACTTCTGCCCCAGTATCTGCTAAACCCCACATTTCACGACCTGCTACCAGCACCGAAACCTTAGGACACTCTGCTTTCAGCCTTAAGGTACCTTCTGTTGTGATTAAATTTGTCATGCGAACCACGCTTGACCATGGGTCCGCTCTCTCTTGATTCATAACATCGCCGGTGGAATCTATTGGTGAGGCCAGGAACGGTTGGCGGGGACTGCCTGGCCTTGACCATTTCCCGACCGCCAGTTCCGATTGTTATTTCCAACTCGATACTGGCCATTGGCCACGTATCCCCTTGGGAAACTCTCTCCTGGTCCGGACCTGTTCGTGCAATTGAAACTGAGGTGGCCCTCTTGTCCACACGCATAGCACATCGGGAGAATCGAGCCTCCAGCCTGCGGCTCGTTCTCTCTTCCTTTAGTCAGCGGTACCTCCCTCAAAGCCTCTCGTTTTTGTTCCGCCTCTCTCAGCCCCATGATCCACTCGTCTAGACTACGGTGAGGATACTTCTGGATCTCCTCCAATAACCACATACGGCTTTGTTCCTCCTTGAGCCCCCGAGTGATTGCATCTCCCAACAGGGCCTTATCATATTTATGACCATGGTGGTTCAACTCATCGTTTAAATCGAGCATAGCATCATAATATTCAAGAAGCGTTTCGTTGTACCTTTGTTTCCGATTCATCACCTTCTGAATGCCATCTTACGTGGCCGTCTGCCCGCCGTATTGCTGCTTCAAATAACAAGTTAATTCGTCTACGGTTTCCCAGTCTCTGCGTGCATTGTATACGCGATCTGCCGCAGGCCCCGGAAGATGCCTTATTATGAATTGGATTCGACTGACTTCGTCTCCGTCTAGCAGCTTGAGGGTTCGGTCAACCTCTCTTAACCACTTTCCTACCTCTATTCCTGGCCTACCGTCGAACTTAGACATGGTCAACCCGGCCCCGAGACTAGTTCCCTCTCTACTATTGTGTCTCCTCATCTCCCACATTGTCTCATCGTGCTGTATTTGATACTGCGTCTTTACCCTATCTAGTGCATCCCCCAACAGAACTAGGTGTTGTTGATGTTCCTTCTCTAACTGTTGCAATTGTGTGTGGTACTCCCCCCCTTAACTGTTGTACATATACTCCATACTCCCCCCTGATTTGGTTCGCCCATGCCTGACATTCCCCATTGATCTTCCCTTCTAACTGTTCCAATCGTTCCTGGTACTCTCCCCGGATTTTCCCCTCTAGCTTCCCAATACGTTCCACGAACTCTTCTCTCAACTGTACCAAACCCGGGCTGTCTCTCCTTTTCTCCGAGTAACCCCGCACCGTCAACCACAACAAACCCATTCCCACAGCGAGCATGAGTAGAGTTGGGGTCACACTCTCTACCGTTTCCATCCACTCCATGATTACGCTCCTTATCCCAACCACAGAACTATCAGTCACGAAATAAAAATAACTACGCTCTGCTACCATTTGTAACCGGTCAGAATTTACTGGACTTGGGGTTTATTAAAGATTATAAGATGGTAATGGCAGTGGAAGCGCCCCTTTGAGAAAAATCCCGAACCATCATAAGAACACTTAAATCTACTAAACAAAATGAATTGTCCGTGACCCGTGGAAGGATAGCGTCTGTGACTGGGATGAATGAGACACACTGTAAAATTTAGACACTTATATTCCCTCCAACACTACAAACACAATCAAATAATGGTACACCACTATGCGAACCTCTTAACTTGAACTTAAAACACTATTCTGGGGAATAAAAGTTATACATGATATAGAAATTATTAGAAACTCAGGCAACAATAAATTTGAAGTATTAAGAAATGTTGCTTGCACACATGAAACAGGCCTTAAGGGCTTTCACAAAATAATATCAGTCACTTAGGAAATGGTATTAAAAAATAAGAAATTAAATACTCTACCATGAATAGGCCTTAAGGGCTTTCAACAAAATAATATCAGTCACTGAGGAAATGGTAATAAAAAATAAGAAATTAAATACTCTACAATGAATAGGCCTTAAGGGCTTTCAACAAAATAATATCAGTCACTGAGGAAATGGTAATAAAAAATAAGAAATTAAATACTCTACAATGAATAGGCCTTAAGGGCTTTCAACAAAATAATATCAGTCACTGAGGAAATGGTAATAAAAAATAAGAAAAAAAATACCCTACAATGAATGGGCCTTAAGGGCACTCAACAAAATTATATCACCCCAACAGATGCACACTTCGTAACCTAACTTAACCACTACTGTGGGGAACAAAGGTTATACCTGAGATCAGAATTATGAAGAAAAATTAGATGCATTAAAAGAATCAAGTCACAGTATCACTCTGGTTCCACTTAATGACACAAACAATCAAAAAACAATACTATCAAAATGATTTAAGAAATATTAAACTACACACGTCAAGATAATATCAGTAACTGAGAAATGGTATTAATTACCCCCAAATGTATTCACTATTATTAATATGTTACTGGGTCCACCAATACTCGTGAACCATGCTCCACCCAACTCAACATACACCCGTAATAAGGGAGATAAAATGTTCCTACTAGGTATCTCCTAGAGTCCTAGACTCATGGTCTCAGTGTGTGACCATTAATTTACTCAGATAGCCTCAGTGTACTCCCAGTGCGTCCATAAAGCGGAAGGGAGTGAGCCAATCAGACCTTGTACAGTTGAGAGAAGCTTTAGCTTCCCGTTAGCAAGAGGGTTTCACTAAGCTGCTCGAGACATGTGGTGTTGTGAGCCGAGGTAGAGGAGAGCTGCTGACCCAACGATCGTCCCGTCATCAGCTGGGCATCCAGACGGCTAGATTCCCTCAAGCGATCCTTTGATACCCCGCTAAACAGTGACAGGCCTACACTGATCGGTCCAATGGCGACAATCGCCACCCTCAATCATCAACGGCAGTCTCAAACGGCAGTCAATCTCTCGCAGTCAAACTCCGGTCAACTCCTGTCAACTCCGGTCAAGTGGGTTCTGACGGATACCCTGAAATGAACTCACTGTTAGCTCTAGTTTACTTTATCACTGCCCTATCTAAACCCTGTCTGAGATTGAATGAGACTTACTTGTTATACTGCAATAGCGCAGCACAGGTGACTAGGCCACGTGACTATTTCTGTGACGGACGCGCAGGGACGTCTCGTATGTCTGAATGCTCCCTGTGACTGAGGGCCAGCCAGCGTCGCGTCTCCTCTCAAGGCGTTAGCTTAGGCCTACGTGACATATTTTCCGCCTAACTAATAATTCCTTGGGACACCCGTAACATTATTCAGACTGATAAACGATCTATAATAATTTCAAATTCAATAATAGTCACTTAACTTCATGAATCACATCATTATTAATTCGGCAAATTACATTTAATATCATATAAGCCTAGTTCCACAAACTCTCGCTATGTGCAGGGAACGCTCTCTTCCCTCCGACGACCTTGAACGATCAGTATCGCCAATGGCGGGGCATTCGACATTACTCTGAAATTTCTGAATATTACATATATATATATATATATATATATATATATATATATATATATATATATATATATATATATATATATATATATATATATATATATATATATATATATATATATATATATATATAATATATATATATAATATATATATATACATATATACATATATACATATATATAAATATATATATATACATATATATATATATATATATATATATATATATGCAAGTAAATCACTGTAGGTGCGCGTGATAGGTATATGCATATATATATATATATATATATATATATATATATATATATATATATATATATATATATATATATATATATATATATATATATATATATATACTTGTGCACATGCAATTTACATGAGTTGAGGGAAGGGCAGTGGGGAATTTATCGGAAAACTTTTGCGAACTCCTGGTCTAACGTTATCTGGGGTTAGGTTAGAATAGGTTTGGTTAGTTTATGTTAGGTTAACTTAGGTTAGGTATTTTAGGTTAGGTTAGGTTAGGTTAGGTTAGGTATATTTGGTTAGGTTAGCTTTGGTTATGTTTGTTTGGCTAGGTTAGGTTATTTAGGTTATGTTAGGTTTGGTTAGGTATGTTTGGTTAGATTCGTTTAGGTTATGTATGTTTAGTTAGGTTAAAATAGGTTTGTTAGGTATGTTTGGTTAGGTTATATTAGGTTATGTATGTTTGGTTAGATTAGGTTATGTTTGTTTGGTTAGGTTAGGTTATGTATGTTTAGTTAGGTTATGTATATTAGGTTAATTTAGGTTTGGTTATATTTAGGGTCTTTAATCACCAGATGATATATGTCAGGGATGCTAATTTTTATGATAAAGATGTGGTGCTTCAGGTGTTTGGGATTTTAAGCAACGTTCACTAGATCTCAGTTTTAGGTCATTGAACTGCCAAGGTTGTTAAGCAACTTTCATTAAATCTTTTTATTTTCCAAAACAGACAACTTTGCGAAGTAGATTTATTTCACACATAATATAATGACCTCGCTTGATGCTTAAGTTACCTGTGATTGTTATCATTATACGGTACAGTAGCTCTAAGTACCTCTGGAACAATCAAGAACAGAAACCCAAGGTGAGGTGAAACAATGATTTTGCATATAAGTCTCGTTAGATATTGTGTAGTGTGAGTCATCCTCTCTTGTTTGTATACCAGACACATAATCACTGCCCTGTTTACTATCCTGTATGTCATAGTTGCTGCTTAAGTTATTAAAAACGATTATTAAATATCATATTTTACCTTTAAATCATGGAGTTTGGATTACATCTTTAAAATAATTATTTAATACAGTTTTAGGTCGTTTAGGATAATTATATAATATGATAACAAAAAGAAAAATAATAGTAATTAACAATATGATAATTGGCATCGCCGTTGACCAACCATTGGGTACTGGGCGCAGACACGATGGTATATAAACCCTTCACAGCCTCTCCCTTCGTCAAGTCACACCGGGGCTCACCACGATCAACATCATGGTAAGATCCACATCCTATCTATCCAGTTACTAAAATACTGAAATCTTGGGATCTCTTAGTAAACTTATTATTAAATATTTACAGACACGTTGAATGTCATCAAACATTGTCCTATATACTTGTGATATCAGTATAGAATTTGTCATGTAATATCGTTATAGAAGTCTTTCAGTGATTATGTGGAAACTGAATCAAGGTAAACAGCCTTCCGTAGAAAATCTTTGTTTATTACGTACTTTTATGGTGAATTGTACTGTGGTTATGTGTATGTTTATTTAAACTTATATTAAAGTGTCTTATTACTCTGTTGAGGGGAAATATTTTTGTTCTTTATGCCTTAGATATAATTACATGCTCTGACCAAACTTCTCTAATTATTTCGACATTTATGGATATTAATTTAAAATGGCCGGCAGGAATAACAGGGTACAGAAATTTTTAAACTACAGTAATTAAAAATCAGTTGTTCTTAAACCATTTATAGCTTCAATCATTTTTTCTCTGTCTTAGTTTACGAAATTCATAATATTGGTCGATTTTCTCCATTACAGAAACTTGTGATATTTTGTATGGGGTTGACCCTCCTAGCGGCCTCCACCTACGCCGAGGTCAGCTCCTTCTCCACCTCTTCTATCGGGAGTGGAGGTTACGACTCATCAGGTGGAGGTGGCTTCATTGGTGGAGGTGGAGGCTTCGGTGGAGGTGGAGTCTTCGGTGGAGGAAGTAGCTTCGGGTCCTTCGGTGGTGGAGGTTTCGGTGGAGGTAGTGGAGGAGGTTACGGGTCGTCTGGAGGTTACAGTGGAGCCACATCCCACGTCAGCTTTAATCTCGGGGCTCCCCAGCGTGGGTATGGAGGTTCATCTGATGGCGGTTACAACAGCGGCTCCTCCATTGGCGGTTTCAGTGGTGGTTCCCTCGGCGGCTATGGAGGTAGCTCAGGTGGCGGTTACGGAGGCAGTTCCTCCTTTGACGGCGGCTTCGGTGGTGCCTCCATTGGCGGGGGCGGCTATGATAGCGGGTTCATTGGAGGCGGCTTCGGAGGCGGCTCTATCGGCGGGGGCGGCTATGATGGCGGCTCCATTGGCAGTGACTTCGATGGTGGCTCTTTTGGAGGCAGCAGTAGTTATAACAGCGGATCCTTTGGTGGCGGCAGCGGCGGTTTTGGAGGCGGCAGCTCAGGATATGGAAAATAATGTTAGTGATGTACTCGCAAGAGGACAACAGTGACGCTGGAAGCCGAACTTGGTGTATCCTAGACATAAACAAAAATAAGTTACATATTCCAGGTTACAGTATGTGCTTCTAGAGGTACCCATAGTACACCTTCATCCTGCACAACCTCTATAACAATAGCATCTAACAGAACACACTGACGATATGAAAACTCACAGATCACTTCGATAACTGTATTATTGTCAGGTTTTATTGATTTTATTTACTTAAGGTAGTAGGTAATAGGCAGCTACCAAACAGGGAGGTACTACTGCCTGGGAAGATATTGGAAGCATAATGTGTTGTCTAATGGTAGACCCTGCTGTCATATGGCATCACGAAAATTGTGACCAAGTCCCAGATTGCTGATCTGACTTTCTGCTTCATTTACACACAATTGCAGGGTCTCAATTGTTTCTCTTACCATTGACAACACAACATACATACTTGTATATCGTTTCTCACTTTTGATCTTTTTTCATTTTTGTATTTATAGTTCTTTATTATTAAAATTATTATTATTATTACAGTTACTGTATTATTATCATTATTTTATTATTTTATTTTTGTTTGTTTTATCATAAATTTTATTTATTATGAATTATTATGACAATTATTTATTATTATTATTATTATTATTATTATTATTATTATTATTATTATTATTATTATTATTATTATTATTATTATTATTACATTTTCGCCCCCCAGGCCCCGATGTGAGTCAGTGACCTGTGTCCGGGTGGGCTAATCCCCGTAAAAAAAATAAAACTTATAGATAAACGAGCCATGTCTGTTAGGTAGATCTGTGTATCTCCAATTTTATGTTGTATGTTTTTGCACTCGCTATGTATCTTTATTTTATTAAGAAATAAAAAAAAAATATATATATATATATATATCATGCACATATATTGACTTTCTTTATCATGTTAAATAGAAAATAATCACTTTAAAATACAGAAATATCATGATTATCTTCGAGTATATGTTGATAGCTTTACCTTTTGCTCATTATCAGTAATTGTATAGTCAACTACTACGGTCTGTTCGCCTCTCCCTTGAAACACGATCCTCGAGATTCAGACACGTGAACCCGAAATTGATAAATTATTCTGTACAGAAATGTTTCGGATTCATGAGTTCTGAATCTCAGGGTTCGTGGTTCAAGGGGAGAGTCGAACGGATTTTAGTAGTTGACTATACAATTATATAATTATTATAATGATTAATAAAATTTTATTCATATTTCTCTCAATAGTAATGCAATTATGATACTGTTTGTCATTTTGGTTGATACTTAATACTTAACGCTGCCTCACAAAATACTTAATAAATCGTATTAACAAGGGTGTTTTATTGGTCTTTCAATCACTCCAAAGGTTCATAGTGTGTGTGTGTGTGTGTGTGTGTGTGTGTAAATACTGTGTTTCTGGAAAGAAATTGTCACCTATGCTAGGAATATTTTTTTCACACTGTTTTGGGGTCACTGTAAAAGTTCTCAATGGACATGACACCATAAATTTTTATTCCCTAAAGATTTTTTTAATTTTGCACACACAATGACATCACTTTGAACTCCTTAAGGGGTATGGTGAAAACTAATTTAGCAACTGTGAATGTCTTTATGTACATCTGTCTCATCTCTTAAAAGTTCATATTGCAATGTTAATGTTGTTTAGAAGAAAATATATTGACGAAGAACTCTGGACGAAGAGTTGATTGAAGTCCTTTACACTTTCTATTTTTTGTTTGCACTCCACACACACACACACACACACACACACACACACACACACTGCTACTACTACTTTGCTGTCACTATCGTTGGTGAGCTTTAAGGTGAATAAAGTGGCTGATACGAGACCGGCAGGGTCGTTCACAGATGTTGCACATGTGGATAGCTACAGCTAATGCGGCTGGGGCGGCGGCAGCGTCTTTCCGGCGTTGGCGCTTATCTGTCTCGGTTTGCATTCGGGATAATTCGAAAGTATTGACACCTTCTTGTGTAGTGTCCTCCAAGCGTGACGGTGCAGAGTAATCGTCTCCCAGGTGAGAGGGTCGATTTGGCACGTTTTCAGGTTTGTCTTAAGACTATCATCATACCTTTTCAGTTGCCCACAAGCGTTACGTTTACTATTCGTTAGGTGACTGTAAAGTAGCTGCTTTGGCAGTCTACTGTCGTCCATGCGGGTAATATGGCCAGTCCAACGTAATTGTTTATGAATAATAGTAGCCTCGATGCTCCTGGAGTTGGTGTCAGCGAGAATACTGGCATTTGTTCTCTTGTCATCCCAGCGAGCTCGGAGAATGCAACGTAGACTACTTTGGTGATAGTTTTCAAGTACCTTAAGGTGCCTCCTGTGTGTGACCCATGTCTCGCTGCCATAGAACAGGGTGGGGAGGACCACTGCTCGATATACGTGCAACTTTGTAGATAATTTCAGCTCCCTGCAGCTGAAGACATGGGTATGGAGTCTGCCAAAGGCTTGAGATGCATATCTGATCCGATGTTAAATCTCTTTATCGATGCCCGCGGTGGTGCACAGGTGGAAGACGGGATACTGAAAGTGGGTAACATTAGAGGGGGTAGTATCGTTAAGTTAGATGGGTGGTGGACTTGTGGATGAAACAGGGGCAGGCTGAAAGATACTCTGAGTCTTACGTACATTCACCTGAAGGCCGAAGTGTGCATACGCATCTGCGTAGGTGTTCATTATCTCCTGCAGATAGCGTTCAGTGTGAGCGACAAGGGTGAGGTCGTCTACATACTGAAGCTCAGTAATGGAAGCCTCGGACACCTTTGTTCCTGCCTGGAGTCGTCTTATGTTGAAAAGACCCTTCATCCGGTACTCGATGTCCACCCCCCCCCCCCTCCGTCTAAATTGGCACTGACACGAGAAAAAAGGCGGCCAAGAAAATATAAGAAAAGAGTGTTAGCGCCAGTACACCTCCTTGTTTTACCCCACACTATGGCGATGAATTTTGGTGGGCAGCCAAGACAGCTGAGGGTCCGCAAGAGGGCTATCCTGTTGACCGAGGCGAAAACCTTGGTTAGGTCGATGAAGGCCATGTACAGGTCACAAGGATCAAGTCAGTGGTGCCAAGCGATGGATTAAAGCCAGATTGAGATTCTGGGAGGAGCTTCTCCATCTCAGGAAGAAGTCTGTTTAGGAGGACTCGGGTGATAATCTTGCCAAATTGGACAGCAGCGAGATCCCGCGGTATTTGCCACAGTCTGACCGGTCTCCCTTGTTCTTATAAATATTGACATTGGAAGTGTCTTTCAGAGCTTGGGGGATTTCTTTCTTTTCCTATACACTCTCCAGGAGAGAGAGACTACTAGTAAGCAGAGGTCCTCCTGCTTTATACACCTCAACTGGGATTCCATCAAGCCCTGAAGTTTTGTTATTTTTCATCTGTTTGATAGCAGTACCTACCTCATCCAGGGATGGAGGATAGCTGAAATGGGTCAGCTCTGGATGCTGAGATATCTGCTGGGAAGTCAAGACAACCACATCGGTGTTTCGGTTGAGCAGCGAATGGTAGTGCCCTTCTAGTGCTGACGGATGCCTTCTTCGTCTTTAATTCAGGAGTTACCGTCGGATGAGCTGAGGGGGGCTGTGCCATGAGTGATTGCCCATAAAATGTTTCAGTGGAATTGAAAAATTCGAGCAGCTTGTGTTGATCTGCAAGTTTTTGCGTTTCACATGCTTATTTTTAAACCAGTCGTTCTTTAAGTTGCGAAGTTCGTGTTGGGCCGCCGATTTCTTCTTGAGGAAAGTATCAGCTTTGGTCTATAACTGAGGGTTGTTCTGCAGGTCACTTAAAGCAGCACGTTTATCATCGACGAGTACATTGATTTCCGGGTCATTTTCTTCAAACCAGTCCTGGTGTATTCTTTCGATCTGGCCGAGGGTCTCTGCAGGTTTTTGTCATGGCAGTATCTAGAATATCCCATTCGGAACTGGGATTTGGGTTGTTTATCAGCCCACGTTCGGGGTGCTCCTTGAAAGCATGTGCTACCACTGGATCCTCAAAACGCTTAGTGTTAAAACCTCTTTGGAAGCTTGTTGCCTTCGCCGTTTTGGGGCGACGTGAAGTGAGGGATCGGCTCTCATGAGCCGATGATCAGTGTCACAGTGATCTGAGCCACGCATGGCACGGGTGTTGAGGACATCTCGGCGATCTCTTTCTCTGACAATGATGTAGTCAATGAGATGCCAGAGTTTTGATCGTGGGTGTTGCCACGAACCCTTGAACTTGTCGGCCTGCTTATTCAAAGAATTGATGATTGTGAGGTTGTGTGCAGCACACTTGCTGAGGAGGAGTAGGCAGTTGGGATTACGCTTGCCTGGTCTATTTCTCCCTATGGTTCCCAGCCAAATGGCAGCATCTCTGCCAACTCTGGCACTGAAGTCACCAAGTAGCACAACCTTATCTTCTCTGAGGACAGAGGTTAGCACTCTGTCAAGCGGTTTCATTCCGTAGCAAGCTCACCCTTCCAGAAGAAGGTATAGACAGACCCCCGTTCTGTGAGTCGACCCTCGTCTGTGAGCTGCTAGGTCGATGTTATACCAAGCCAGCTCTTTTGCCACAAGGGCGGATCTTCCTTCAGGACGTGCCAGTATCCAGAAGGATCCTGATATTCCATGGAGCGACCATAAGAGGTTATATAATTTGTTTGTTTTTTCATCTGGGATTATAATTGTGTTTTCGACCGCACCCAGTAAGGCTATGTTTAGGGCACCTTTTCTATCCCCCTCCCCATTTGGCCCGAGCAGAGTGGCTCCTGGAAAGGGCTGCTCAGTCGCACAGACAGAACCGGATTGCATTGCTGCCGAGATCCCAGTACATAAACGACCATCTTATCTATGCCGCCCATGTGCAAAGTTGTGACTAGACACTTCCGGCAATCATCTCTGCCCGTCGCCACTCGTCCGTCTCTATAAAGACACACACAAACACACACATACACACACACACACACACACACACACACACAAACACATCAACACTTGCAAACTCTCTTTTATTTTATTTCTAGACACCGAACTTTCCTGCATCACACTCCTTACCGTTTTGTACTTCATCTGCTCCTGTCAATTACCCTGTACCTTTAATCAAATGTATCCTTCTCATATTTCCCCCCCTCTCTCTCTCTCTCTCTCTCTCTCTCTCTCTCTCTCTCTGTGTGTACACTTAGTCAGAGTCAACACAGCACTGCTTACTTTCCCAATCATTCCCGAAAGAATATAAAAAATAACATGCAAGCATATGTTTG